AAGTTTTAAAGATTAGCATCTAGTGAAGTTTGCATATCATCAACTGTGCTTTCCCTAATTCTTGTTATTTCTCAGAAGGTGAACAAACAGACAACGTAAATTTGTTGTAATTGTCATGTGAAACGTAATCTCTTAGGAGAAAACAAAAAGAATATATTGCAATAATGAATAATGAACATTTCTACTAAAGGTCAACTCAGTTGTCATTCTGTATCATTTAAATTCCAGAAATTCATCGAATCTTGATTACCCTATGCAATTACATTATTACCTCATTGTTAGTAATCCCCCAAATATTTGATGGTCACCGATGGAATTGTTTGTTGGTTTTAGACATATAGAAGCCCCTTTTTACTCCACAATGCTAAACAATAATTACACACAGCACCAATTTGGTGACTTTGCGGTATAAAAATGTACTAGACTAATACTACATGTGAAAACATAATCTATTTTATTACATTCTGTGTGCATCTATCATTCATTGTACATAGGTTTTTTTTCGCCAGTAGGCTTTTTTGCGCCAGTTTCTATTCATTCCTCAGAATAAAAAAAAAAAAAAGTGAAAATTGTATTCCATTCAGTTTTGTTTAATGGTAAATTCCAACATAGCAACATGTATTAGTATTGTCCATGGAAATCAATACCGCAGGCCTTCATTAGGTAAAAAGACATAGACTGAATGCGACACCTGATCCATACTACTGATACTTGTCGTTGAGGGCAGTATAGACAAGTTTGTGGACAAGAAACTATGAATATATAATAACACTAGATGGAACATACCATATGTATGCCACTCTACTAATGCCTAGGTACAATTCTAGTATTGTCTAATTACCCATTCAGATTTATGCAAACATAACCTTCAATTCACCAATGACCGAATTGCTATTATATTCTTTCCTGCCAAAATGTTTAGTTAATTTTGGACCAAATGGACATTATTTTTCATTGCCTACAGATGTTGATCAAAAGGTGTTTTGAAAAAAAAAATTATATGCAGCTTTGATTTGTAAAAAGTGATGAAAGTTAACTTTTTCATTCAAAGAGTAAAATTTTGCAGTCATTTGAAGACTGAGTTTGGTTGATAGTCTTGTCTTAGACATGTACGGGCAGATAAGGCTAACATTGACAGTGTATCACTCTTGGGGAAATGGCAAAGTAAATGACTTTTGTTTGTTATTTAAAATTTCTCAATCATATAAAGCCAGACCATATTTGTATTATTTCGGGTCTAATTTTTCAAAAAATTAAATTGCCAAATTAGATGTGTCGTTGATTACCACTATTACAATGAAATAACAGAAATAGTCACGAAAAATATTCATTTTATTACAATATTATTGTATTTATATTTACCATCGGAATTGATGATGTAAATGTTATTAGGGTCTGTGGGAAAACAATCAAGTCCAGTTCTTTATCATTATTATTGATGTAAAGAAATCACAAAATCAAAGTAAAATAATAAAATAAAAAGTCATTAATAACAAAAGTAATAAAATTAAAATAAGTTTATAGCCAAAATAATTATAGCCCGTACACTACGTCAGATTTTAATCAGATTGGCACTATATTTAAATTTTTACAAAAAGATAATAGGTTTCAATTTGGAACTGTTACAGCCATTTTAATTATAAGCATTACAAAACTTCTTACTGAGTGAATGGTTATGCAAATTAGCCATTATCTCCACTTATGTTTTTCAGTTTAGCATTTAAGTTCAAATCTAAATAGCTCGCACAATTTTTGTTTATTTTGAGTGAAACTATCACACAATGTTTATCAGTTGTTTATTAACAAAAGGACGTCCAGGCGTATATGTAATATGTTTTGTTTTCATATTACAAAGTTGTCAAGCTGGATGCGTGCCGTATATTCAATCCCGGTCAGTAATTCACACATAGAATGTCATTTTCCGAGAATGCAAAGCTTTAAAAATAAGCCCAGACGTCCTTTTATTCGTAGACGTTGTCAAAATAGTCTGAAAATCTCAAGACAAACTGACAAAAACTGTGGGAGCTACTGTAAAGGGGGTAATTATTCACTGTGTTTTAATTTAGCTTATTTCGCTGACTGGAAAAATGCGCTAAATTAAAACACAGTGAATATGTAAAATTTAGCATAGAACACATTATCTAAATGACGAAACCGTGTATTTAAAACTCACTGAATATGCCTGAAATGGTAAATCAGTGAAATTTAAACCCAGTGAAAATTAGTCATTTTACAGTAATTAATTTTCAATCTCTCTAACCAACCACAAAACACGAACGGAGATAATGCCTGTTTTATGAAAGTGAGGTTAATCGTCCACAAAAATGGCTATTGCATCACGACGACATGCCAAAATCCATTATACACTGATGCTTGCTGATGTTCAATCGTCAGATGAAAAAATAAAATAAAAATATTTACAATACCAGGGAAACGAACGTAAAATCGTTCGTGGTGTCAAAACCTTGCGTGAAAACTGTCATGGCGTTGTGTTATCATTTCCACTTAGGGAAGGGCACAATGGATTACGTAAAGCTGATAAGATATTCATACAGTTATATAAACATAGCGATCGCCATTGGGTGGGTTGAGTCTAAATTTACCTTTCCTCAAACCTTTAAAAATATACTCTGTATGACGCAGTTTTTCACGAATCAGAATGCAGTGTTGTACCGACACAGTTCTCCAGGAATTCGCTGGGCTTCCTGGTAACGAAATACGGATTAAAGTGAATTATGTCTAAGTACAATCTGTTAGAATTGTTTTCGAAAAAAAAGCAGCATGATTTTTTAAAAAGAAAAACTAGTAGCTAGCAATGAATATGGAATACTAGTATGATATTTACTGCCATTCAGGGTTTGACAGGTTATTGTTGAAGCGTAGTTTACGCACAGTTACCATGATTTACCCATTTGCTTGATATTCACTACGGTTGATATTTACATTGTATTATATTTGTTGAAGACCAGTAGGAAATATTGAAATATAATTTATGTCTCTTTCAATTCAAGAAATGTATCTAAGAATGTAAAATTTTTGGCAGGATGGAATTCAAAGGTTTAAACATGACTATTAACAAAAGGTCCATTCCTTGTTATTAACATTTATGCTCCATTGTACGTTGTTTTTCAGTTACACCAAATATGTCAGAAAAAATGCAGTCATTATCACATATAAACATGGATCAAAAGGTAAGTAGTAATTTGATATCGTGCATGCAGTTTCCATGACAACTATGTCCAAGAGATGTGCTATACAATCAAGGTACTATTCACCAAAATAATTGTATGCCATTAAGAACCATCATTACTTTACATTATTCATTTTGCTTTGATTACTTGTTCCCAAAAATATTTTGTATAAATAGAATACAGTAGAGTTTCCCGGAAGTAAACTAGCTTATGTTTAAGTTGAGTCAATCATTTGAATATTTTATTTTATAAGCACTGCTTTTATATTCATGTAGCAAAATCTTTATGAAAAAAAACAAACCTAGTGATAAACCTAGGCTCATTTTACAAGGGTCTGTGTTGTGAATTGAATAATTAAGATAGCGAGACTATTATTTGTGTTGAAAATTACGATTTTCACATTTATTTATTAATTGATGAAATGCACTATAAACTTTCATCTGATAAAGTCAACTTAAACTAGAATGTCATGTAAGTTGGTTAAAATGTAGATTTTCTGAAGGGAAGCAATACAGCTTCAGTAATGTTTTCCAAAATCAACAACACAGGTTTAATCTGTGTGCCTATAAAGATTAACTCAAGACAAAGCAATGTTAGGATGTGTTATCAGTAGCTATCTGACACACAATTAGTGTTTCCAAACATTTGAGTGGTTTGTCTCCGCCCCTGTTTATTTCACAGATTACTCATTTGCATATGAATGTGTCGGACACAAGGTCACACAGCCACTGAAAAAAATCATTGATTTTGGTGTTTTCATCTGCCGATTTTATTGAACTATAGCTATCCCATTCTTTTATTTTGTTGGTTTCCAATAGCCTTACACATTTGGATGCTCCTACACATGTTAAAACAGACCTTGATGGGAAAACAAATCGCTTGTGCAGATAAACAAGGTTGAAAATCTTTGCTGTGACTTCATCAACGTTTTCTAGGAGTTTATGTTTTTCAAAATACATGGTCTTTAACAAAAAATAACGTATACTTATAGTCGTCGAATTAACACCAAATTTTCACGCCTTTAAGGTGACAATGAGAGGAACTTGAATGTGTCCAGACAAACTATTTCATGGATTATTTACCAATGTGTTGTGGTTTGAGTTAGGGGCAATGCGACTAAAACAGAAATTAAAATTCAGGACACTACTTTTTAAAACGCGTTGCTTGAATAAAACTGACCAGACACATTCAATTTACCAGACTATTGAACAACTAGGAAAAGTGAAAAAAAAAATTCTTATCACCAGCATAAATGCGTAATTATTTTTTTTACAAAAAAAGTAATTTTTCACTTTTGATTAAGTAACGCACCGTAGAATGCAGATACGGGCATGGCAAACACACTTGAAGTCTGGCGATTCTAAAAATATATACTTTCCTGGGTCTATTTGTAGTCATTTGGTCACAATTAGAAGATGAAAACAAGTATGCAAATAATAGTCCCGCTACCTTAAATGGCATCTGTTCATGTTGTCATGTTTGAGGTAAATCACTATTTAATTATATAATACCTTGTGAAATGATGGAATGTGTAAATTCACAAAATGTTTAACTAAAATTCATATCAAACCATTTTAATTTCATGGATTTTGTGAGTCTCTGAAAATCAGGGCAGGTATTTCATTTTTCCGGGATCCTACCAAATCAAGTGTCATTGGCTTTCACGTAAATGTCAAAAAATGATGAAAGCACATTAAATTTCTAGCAGTGAAAATTTAACAGTGTACCTATGTAATAAACTTTTGATTGAATATAATGGCTGACTGACATAACAATTGTTGTTTACATCTAGGAGGAACTTGAAAGCCTGAATGGAGATGCAAAGCAATTACTTGAGGCTTACAATCACATTGTATCCTTTGTAATTACCCACAATGCAGCATATTGGTGGGTTTTCCAGTAAAAAACCCTGTTATGGTAGGTACATGGTAAATAACCCACAATGCCATGCTAGGTACATTTTCTAAAAGTAGATTCTTTGCATACATGTATCAACACATCACATGTTTACCATATGCAGTCCTACCATAAACCACATATTACCCATACATCCATGTTTTGAGTCTAGGGTAAAGTAATCAGTCCTATTGTAGAAGGTACATGGTAAAGTACCCTCACTGACCTTTAATATTGATTCATCATAGGCCACATGCAGTGATTATTTCCTTTGTGTAGGAAATCCAACAATGCTTTTGAAAATAAATCTTTTATTCCATGCATCAACAATGATCCTTTTTCCTATTTACCGGTTACAAGTATTATAATTTCTAATGCCATTGAAATTCAGTGTAATGTAGTGTATTACTGTAGAATACTTTATTTTCGCTTGGAATTTATTTTCGCTATTTTCGCTGGAGGGATGATTCCGTGAAAATAAAATCTAGCGAATATACTTTTTTTCCTATATTTCACATTAAACTCATCAAAAATCAGTGAAAATAAATTCCATACAAAACGCCCAAAAAGCCTTTTCAGCGAAAATTAATTCCAGCGAAAATAAAGTATTCCACAGTATTAGAATTTTTCTAACTCACTCTTCTCATACTTGGTATGATGTAAGTAAATTATTATTAATTAAAAATGGCATCAACTTAAGCATTTTAAGTCACTTTAAGATCCACTCGATTATGGGGAATTCCTTACTCGCAGCAATTAACATTACCAGTAAACAAATATTTTTAATATCACAATATTACTAGCATTGTTTCTAGGCATAAGCAGGGTAAGGTATCGTAAGAGGATTTAAACACACAGAAAGAGGCAGGTCATATTGTTGTATACATTGTATTCCTTAATCCAGATAACTAGATTACTTTATTATCCAAACAATTTGTCCAGTGGGATGAAACCGTAACTCAGTATGAAATAGCCTCACAGAAGAAACCAGTAGATGAATAATGGAAATACGTTGACTGTACTTATTTATGCTGACCACCTTGTGTCTGCAGATTACATTTGTTTCAGCATACATGTAAATTATTTCTCACGAGATATCTTATTTCCATCATATGGTCACTCACATCTTATCCCAACCTACTGAAAGGAAAATAATTTATACATTATTGTTATTTGAGGACTTTACAAGTGAATGTCACTTGTACAGACTAATCGTTCGCTCTTTATTAGTAACCGATCATTTAATAATGAGGCATATTTTGCAACTTCCCAATCATTGATGTGGTTTCCTAAGCACAGGATCCTCATTACACTGCCACCCCTTCCTACACGAATGAATGGAAGAACCTATATATCAATATAGCCTTTGTAAATATGGTTCATTGTATTATACGCAGGGGATATTCATCACATGGGAACCATATTGTAGGCGATAAAATGCAATGCCATTGACGCTTCAATGTTTTGTGAACCTCTTTAAATTAATGTGTTTAATAGCAGTAGCAATTATACACGTACCAACAACGAATATAACCATCTTTGTGAACATGAGCATCTCAGCTTTTGATAACTGTGCCTTACAGTATGTGTATGATAAACATCAGAAAAGGTCTTGGTCTGAAGTCAAGTACCTTGTACAATTTTATGGTAAATTGGAAAGGGAACTGTTATTAGCAATGTCTGAAACTATTAGTACCGGGAAAAAAAATGGCATCAACAGGCAATGTGTTAATAAAATTATAGCAAATAATAAATAAAATCGAAAATACTGTATTTCATCAATGATGATTAAGTCAACTTGGGATTAAGATTAGATATTAGAGGTTATTAAAATTGTCACCTGCATCATATCATTACTAGAGTTGTTTTACATTTAACTCAAGCATCAGTAAATCTTGAAAACATGATTTTTGCATTTATATTAATTTTCCAATATTTAATTCTCTATTTAGAAGTGTATATGCATGTTTTCATTCATTGATATTGCAAAGGTCATGTGTATTCTTGTGATGGCATTGAGAATAAATCATTATCTATTTATTGTGCATGTGCATTGTAATTTGTGATGTGATTAGAAATCATGGATGCAAGTATTGAAGGCTTACTGCAATTTACATTTCTTGCTTTATTTGCATGGTTGGCTTCGTTGTGATGCTTGGGAACAGGATGCATTGTGGCAACTGTTGTGGCTTTATTTTTGAGCAATTCATTATTGTTCTGAAGATGCAAAGATCTCATATAACATTTTTAACAATTAAAGCGGGAGGCTTGTTCCCTGTGCGCGTGCGGGAATCGAGTCCCAAGCGATGATAACACGCGCTAAAAACACAAAGGCTCATGGGTAGACACTTGTTTGTAAAGAATGACAGGCTATGGCCATCTGACGCATGCGTGGGCGACAACTCTCCCACTTAAAGTCATTCAGTTATACGATTGGTAATCATGGTTGAAAGTGCTAATTGCAAGAAATTATGTGTCTTGCTCGATCAGGTTTTTTCGGGATGATAAAAGACTACTTACAACCATGTACAATATGAATGAGCTTTATGTTTGAATGAGCTATGTATAGCGTGTAGTGAAAACAAAAGAATGGCACGTGCGCAGCTAGTGGTATTTCAAAATAAGTCTTTACCATTCTATCATTAGTGCTTTTACTTACATAAATAATGTGTCAGTGGTCAAAGCAAGTTGTATTTAAGAAAAACAGGATACGATAAATTGAATAACCCATAAATATGGTACTCTCCATTCTTGAATTTGTTGGTTTAAAACGGTTTGACAATATTTAATGTTCAAGCATACAACTGCCAGGGTGGTCATTTGGATGTCAACTGTAAACTGCATTCTGTTTTCGGGAAAAAACTATTTTAAAAATATATGTATGAGATTATGAAACAAATGTATATACCGGTATGTTGGGAATAGTCTTTTAGGAATGCAATGATATATGTCATTTTTAACTGTCAATTACTGTATTTGAAAAATACAATTTCTTGAAAAATAGTATTTACCGAAATTTTGACTAATTCTGCATATTTTCATTTCTGAATAAGGAAGCAATCCAATATTTTCAATTGAATTTATGATGACTGGCACTTTTTTAACATGACTCAGATGAGGAAGAAGATAAAATATGCCAATATGAGGTGAAGGGGTTGCATAGTTCTAACAGGTGTACAGGAATCTGATAGCCTGCAAATTCCGTCTACAATTTGAATGGCACTTGAAATTTGCAACTCAGTAGAAAAGATTGCTGTTCATATAACAAAATAAACTATAAATCAGACAAAGATTCCATTCATTATTTAAATTTGCAATCTGATTATGATGATTTTACTAGTGTTTTTGAAACAACAACAAAACTTTGTGAATCCATATGTACCAAAGACAGACGTGCTAAATTTTGAAAAATTAAAAACAAATTTCTCACATTTCTAGTACATTTGTATACCATCACAAAACACAAATTAATCTAAAAATAGCTTCTCAGAGTCCAACTTTAAGAACTAGCTTTGCGATATTAAATGTTCTTTCGATTTTATACTGTAGAATAATTTATTTTCGCTTGGAATTTATTTTCGCTGAAGGGATGATTCCGTGAAAATAAAATCCGGTGAATATACATTTTTTCCTATATCTTACATTAATCTCATCAAAAATCAGTGAAAATAAATTCCAAGCAAAACGCCCAAAAAGCCTTTTCAGCGAAAATAAATTCCAGCGAAAATAAAGTATTCCACAGTATTTCGCATCTCATTGTGAAGAAAACAGGCTGGATATGTATTTGATAAATGATTTCAATGGGATCTATTGTCAGAATACAATTCCAATAAAGTGATAAACAATTTTCTTTTCAGAGATTTTGTGTCATTTTTATTTCCAATTTTACATGTTTTATTTGGATACATTATTGTATTTTGTAATAATGAACCTCACCCCCAGGGTTTCAAATGGACACCCCTAGGATGAAAACAGGAAGACGTCCATTTGGGAGGCGTATACGAAATATGAACTTTCACTGAAAAAATACATGTTTGCCAAACTTGAAGAAAAATTCAATTTTGATGAAAAAATTAAATAAAGCATAATTTCAATGCTTACTTACAAATTGAAATATACAAGAATATAAGAAATAGACAAAAATATGTGCTTACATGCACACTGCGCTATTTTTTCAAATCCATTTGTTTTACCCTTGGAGATAAAAACTATAAAGATTATTATGTATTACCTCTAACAAATAAGTTTTAGGTTACATGATGTATAGTGGAAGCCATGTTAGTAACATATTTTGCATGGTACATTGCGCCCTCTGTGGGTGTCAATAGTCAATACATCGGCTATTAAATTAATTGTAATTTCTTGAAAGATGATCATGTTTGATCACCACTGATTTAATCGTTTGTCATTATATATTACATTTTTATTTTAAATTGGTATTTGTAGACATTGAAGGTCTAAAGGTGAGTGATTTTAAATTATCAATAACGCTGACACTGAGTATATTTTATGTGCCGTGTACTAGTATTTTCCTGACGTATAACTTAAATCGTGTGTATGACGTCATACATCCGTTCATTCTTGGGTTTCGTCCTTGCAAGTCGGAGGTTTGGATTGGGTAACCTTTTTACTACGAATTTGAGGGTGTACATGTCGAAAAATGTGTAGTTCTGCAACTAAAATGTGTATGTAGTGTTAGATACGTATATTAATAATTAGAAAAGGGTTTTATCCTTTTCAGATGCAATTTAACAACACTGATTATCAAGCTATGGCGAGTTTATAGGTTAAAGGTCGTACAAAACTAGCCAATCAAAACGCTTGTTTCTTCTTCCTTTCCGACTCCCGAGGCATTACATGTATTTAGATTTCAGGCTGGAAGGTGGTGGTTTGGTTTTGAGCTTCTCTTGGTTATTATGCTACAGTCGTCGTTCGACAGCGACGTTTAAGCCAAGTCATCGAACAGTTTGTCCACTCTGTGTGTTAGTATATCACTGTAACAAAAATGAGCGACGTCCAGGCAGTACAGATGGTAAAATCGGAACTTGAGACTGAAGACGCGAACGAGATTATCATCGAGGAGAAACAAGATGACGTGCAATACGACACGGTTCCTGGTACTTCCCCAAAACAACACGTGCATTTACAGGTTCCAAAAATACAGGAACTAGCGGAGGATGGGACGAGTTCGACTTATACGAGCGACGAGGAAGCGCTTTACCACACTGATGCGCAGAACGAAACCACCAAAGGGGAAGGCAAGAACGGGGAGGGCGGTCAAGATGACATATGGACTCCACCGGAAGAGGAACTCGTTCAAAAAATCATCAAACAGGTTGAATTTTATTTTTCCGATGCCAATATTATCAAAGACGCATTCCTGTTAAAACATGTGAGGAGGAATAAGGAAGGCTATGTCAGTCTCAAGTTAATTACATCATTCAAGAAAATGAAGTCGCTAACGAAAGATTGGAAAAGTGTGAGATTTAGCCTAGAGAAAAGTGATAAATTGGTTATAAACAAGGAAGGCACCAAGGTCAAACGTATAAACGCACTTCCAGAAAATGATGAAACCACACCTAGTAGGACTATAGTTGCAGTCAACCTTCCTATGCAGGAGCCCAGTATTGAAGCCGTCGCTGATTTGTTTTCCAAATGTGGTGATATTGCCCTTATACGAATTCTACGACCTGGTAAATCGCTACCGCAAGATGTGAAGAAACATCAAAACCAACATCCTGAGTTAGGTAAAACTGTCTGTGCTTTGGTAGAATTTGAAAAGTCTGAGTCTGCCAGAAAAGCCAAGGAATTGTTGAGTAATAAAGACGACTGGAGAAATGGCATGCATATCGCGGTTCTCAGTAAATCTACACCCAAGAAAACTGAGAAAACTCCAAAAGAGGCAAACAAAGAGGTACCATCACCAAGTAATGGACAGAAAACTGGGAATGAAAAGTCAGCAAAAGCAAATGCTGCGCAAAATGGTGAGGATGGTGATAGTGAAAATGAAGGAAAAAGTCGCAGAAGAAGAAAAAAGAAAAACAATCGATTGGAAGTGCTAGGAAAAAAAGGCGAAGGGTCTGGGTTTTCTAGCTCATCTGATGTTGAAGTTAGTTCACCTTCTCCATTTAAAGGAGACAAAAAAGGTACCCCTAGTCCTATCAAGCATCTACATATATCTCCTAAAAGCGGACAAAATCATTTAAGTCCTGGTGTGTCTCCGAAATCTAGCCCTCATTCCAGTCCTCGAACCAGCCCAAGATCACAGCGAAGAAATAAACCAGGTCAGTCTTCGTTTCTTAGTCCAAAAGCCAGTCCTCTCACCAGTCCGGAAGTAAAGCGTAAAACCGATTATTCATCCGACGGAAGTGGGTCATCAAGTCCATGGGTACAACGCAGACTGTTGGCTGCACAAGATCAGAATGTGCTGCGTAGCGAGGGGAATAGTCCACGCAGCAGTCCTTTAGTGAGTCGCAGAATGGTTGATCCTGCTATAAAACCATGTTTAGCAGACTTGGAAGGTGTTATCAGGCAACCAAAAGGACCAGATGGCAGCAAAGGTTTCTCTCTAGGAAGAGGAAAACCGTTAGTAAATTAACATTTAATTTTTTAACATATCTGCATGTTTATAAATGTCAATCTGCAGATAAACAAATTTGTGATGTTTATTTATGATCAAGAACACTTTATATCTACATGATATTCAATCAAGTTTCTGTATCATGTACACAGTATATTTTGTGTTAACGTGTAGAAAAATTGCACTAAAAGCTCTAGAATATTAATTTTATTTTTTTTAAGTGAACAAAAATGTATTGAATGCTTCAAGCATAATCATGTGATGATTTTTTAGGTTTCTGGTAAAAAGAAAAAAGAACATATCAAATAGCGATTATGTAAAAAAAAAAAATCATACACGTATGGTTACGTAAAACTATGCACTTACAAAGCAAAGTATTTAATGTTATTAATTAAATTAATGTTTTACCTATTAGTAGTGGATGCGCTTTCAGATTGTAGGATTTAATTCATAAGATTATTTTCTTGAGTTTGATGTTGACTCTTGCCATATGCTAGACTTAGCCTGAGAACATTTTGCAATCTGTTTACCCTATCTGCTAAAAACAAACTTGTAGCGGAGCTGGGTGCAGCTCTCAAAATTTTATCAGGTTATGGCTACACCTTGTTGCATGTGATTGTGTTCAAATATACATGGAACTGGTTTGTGAATGGGCATTATTTACATCTCTTTTGAATATTTGTGTACAGAATCATTATTATTCATATCTGTACATGTACTTCCTCTGCTTGAGGTCATGTATTTTTTTTCTATCTAACTATAAAAAAAACAAAGTGTTATCTGGAATGGTGTTTTTAAATCCGAGCTTTAGGCAGCTGGTGTAGTATAAATAGATGTTATATATATCTTAAAAGACGCATGTGACTAACACTTTCGACATGTGAATATCCTGAAATTATTCCCCGAGACTGGCTATTTGTAAGTCCAAAGTAAAAACTTGGTGCACTCGAACTATATATTATGAACCTCAATTATGAAAAATTTTCAATTCAAATTAAAAATCACAAAGTTGTAGTGTTCATAAAAACAAGGTTTGTAAAATTGGTAATTTATTTATTCTGCGAAATATCTAGAATCTATGTGTTTTAAAATTGTCTTTACCTTTTAGCTACATTCATCCTGGAAGTGCCACACCCTTGTGTGAAATGTACAATGTGTCACAATGATTGGCAAATTATCTTTTAACTAGTCTGTTTTAAGTTCCATGTATTTATTTTGATTATGCTTGTTATTTATTCAAATACAACTAAGGTCAGAAAAATGTTGTTTGAACACTTGTGAGTCAGATGGCACCCATTTGTGAGCCTGTCGATACCAAGCAACAGGTGGGCGACACCAACGAACTCTGCCAATAATCTTGGCATGTGCGCACTATGCACTGGTTGCGACTACAAGGAACAAACACATCTTTCAGCCATCTGTTATACTATCAACTAACAAACTAATAGATACTGCTCTAATCTATAGAAACTTGTAAATGTAGGTTGATAATTTAGTTAATTGGTGATAAAATTGTTTCTGACTTCGTTATGCATGTTCGAAAGGGCTTTGCGTACAATACACGGCTAATTAAATTTCTTGTTATGTTAACTGTATACCTAACTGTAATTGGCAACTAATAGTGTATCAAATTTGTACATGTACTGCCTCAGACTAGAATGATTCTCTATTTTACATGTTAGTAGGTTGTGCAGTATCATTCATTACAACAATATACTTTGGTCAGTGTACGTTTTCTTACTTTGTATAATCTGCAGAAAATCTCTTGTTAATTCATTTAAGCATATTGGTTTTGGATTTTGCATAGTTCACCAGAAATCTTCTCCAACAGAATCCTGAAATCAAATTTAAAAGACATTCCTAAAATAAAGTAATACTGTTTTGGCAACTAGAAATTTTGATGAATTAAATTTATAAAGACGACATTTTGTGAAGTTGCTGCAAACCTTTATCTAGAACCCATTGAAACTATCACTGCTACAAGATTCATTCACTGGCAACAGTTATTCACTTTTTGATGATCAAACATTTTCTCGTTTAGAGTACCCTTGCTAATCGGACAGTGTGCACTGGTTGTCATACTGTTTTACTTTCTTGTAAATTTCAGTGACTTGCCAAATTATCTAAATAGATGTCGGGCAATATATTTTACCAAAGGCATACATATTGTTAGCACATACATTGCATCAAGAATTTTGGAGTAAGCTGATACCATAATATTCGTCGGAATGATGAATTTTCTTTTAAAAGGTGGAAATATGATGTATCAATTAATTGGCTTCAATCTCATACAAGATTTATTTCAGTGTTATTAATCTGTTATGTATTCACTTTTAGTTAGCACCATAAAAGAGTGGAAATCCAATCTATTTATGTAATTCTTGCATCACGTTTCATGATTGCCATTATATTTTAGAGTTTTTATGTTGAAAATGCTTCACTGGGGTGCAAATAAAAAGTAGAATAGCCCAATATAACAGTTACATTCAATGTACTGGTATACTTTACATTTATTTGTAATGATTACTGTGTGTTGTACTAAATTCAAGCGCCATGTTTTCTCTCGTCGTATAAAAAAAAAATTTATTTTAATTTTCATAAAATCTTACAAGAAAGATGGCAATTCAAATAGAAGGGATCATCACTTGTGCACATGACTCTGTGTCCAAAGCGACGATAGCAAAAAACGCTAAAAAGGCTCATGATTAGACTTTTGTTTGTAAAAAAACTTTATGATATGCTGTCTGCTGCATTCACATGTATAAGAGCACAATGTTTCAGAATTTCATTCCCCTTTCACAGGTGCTGAGAAGTTTTCTGTATTTTTCTGAAAATTCTGTGTTTAGTATTGCATTATTTATGGCTTCGATACTTTTTACTTGAGTAGGTTTTGAACAAGATTATTTTGTAGAACAAGACACGGAAATATTCATTTTAGAGTTTTAATATGCACACTTGGTAACTGTCAGCTTGCACTTAAAATTTGGAAAACTCTAGAACCTAGTTATCAGTATTGTGTTTTAGAATCAAGTTATTATTTTTTTCATTTAAGACAAAGGTTTCCCATCCCTTTAAAGAAGCAAGAGTGCTTGAGCATAAAGCATTTATTTGCTGGTTTAGCTAAAATGTCTGCTCATTCATTTTTTTTTTCACATATAGCACATCTTTGTGCATTCAAGTGAAATTACAATTTTCAATTTTTGCCATATCTTATCAATGATACTTATTCCAACATGTCGGTACTGTAATGAAGTGCGTAATTAAGGTCTATTATTATGCATAGATGTACTATGTGCCTTCTTGTACTGTGAAAGCCATTTTTTTTTAATTGCAATATATTTTCAATGTGAACTTTTTTTTATTTACAATTCTTAGGAATATTAAATAATTTTTATTTTTTAAATCGGCAAAATTAGTGATAATTTGGAGTTCATCAACCCTTTGAACTCGTATATTTCCTGCTACAATTTTGGTGCAAATATTGTAAATTTTTATATTTTTTTTCTGGAATTTTTAATTATGGACCAAATTAAGATAATTTTATGTTGCCTACAATTCTTGATCGAAAATTTAATTTAATTTTGTGAATGGGGACAAAAGATATTTTGTCAGACGAAAGGTTAAAGGTTAAGAAATTAGTTTCCTGACAATGACTGCATCACAACCAGAGTATTAGTTATTTTTAAGATGTCTGCTTATTTAAAGTCTATCATAATATGGTGGAATGATTTGAATTGTACAAATTTTGTTAAACCCAAAATATGATTTTGCTGATATGTACTTTTTATTGTTTTTTCCCATTCTAATTTTAAAACCGACTGTAATTTTTGTATATTCTAAGTTTTTTGTTTTGTACAGAATCTGAAATGGTTCATGTGCTCAACATTATTGTTTTCATCGTTGACATGTTGCACTGCCAAAGAACTTTAAATGTTTAACACACAAACAAAATCATGATTGTAATGTTGAAAGCAGAAAATGGCTACTGCTTCAAAAGGTTGATTATTCAAATATATTATTTAAACCACCAATGGTAATTTGACACACAGTAACTTGGGGGCTGAAAAAATAATGAATACTAACTTTTAAAAAAAAAAATCTTCCGCTATACGTATATAAATAACCAAGTTGTGAAACATGGCACCGAAGTAAATCGACACGTTGTTGGTTTCAAATGTTGATTTCTTACCTTAAAATGTGTATACTCATTTCCAGCCAATCAGGCGTGTCGTAACAGCGAGTATTTCCTTGATTTACCCAGAACTCTGTGCGAATCCCCCTTGATTCTGGCTGCTGGTCATTTTTGTTCATGAAA